CTTATGTTAACGCTAGACACTTGGAACGAGTTTATAGTAAAAGAAAAAGCATATGGCTTAAGGTCAAGTTGCAATCATTTTCTAAAACAATTACATCTGGAAATTTTGGCAGGTTAATCAATGATGTAATAATCTTAAGGTGCGTCCTTAAAACAATTAGGAAACATTACAAAGTGAAGCAATATCTTAGCGTCAGTGAAACTTAATCGAACTACTTCATTTGTTGTCGGTTTGGCTGGATTTCTAAAGTGCAAATGGTCTACTTTCTTGCACATTGACAAAACATATTAGAATGTAAAGACATAAATACTAGCCATCATGATCAATACTAAGAAAATACGATTCAGTCACGACAACATGTTGGTGTGCAAACAAATTGAAATGGAGAGAGAATGTGAGAGAAACATAACTTGAGAACAACATGCTCGGGAGGATGGTGCTGTCGAGGGAAATAAATAGCAAGACACAGAAACACACACTAGCTGCATGGGAGAGAGAGGCAGGAAGGGTGAGGGAGAGGAGGGATTGAGAAGAGGTTTAAATGAAGGAGAAGCAGGGGATCCTTCTACTTCCTTTTTACCCATCATCCCTGGCTTCAGCACGTGTCACAGAGCGTGTTCATTACATTGACAGCCGTGTTCTCTCCGCTCTCTCTGCCCACACACACACACACACTAACAAACAATCTCAGAGAACTAGGGGGAAGCACATTCACAAGGATGAAGTGCAGACCCTGCCTCAGCTGAAACACATTTCATTCACACATGTGCACTTTCCTTATGTCTATTCATACAAAATAAACACTGACATTTACCTGTCATAAATAATCGCCTGCAGTTAATGTTATTAAACTTGGCAGCCAAAATGTGTATTACTGGAGTTGAACACAACGCAACTAAACTCTTATTGGGACGGAGTGGCGCAGTGGGCTGTGCATTGATCATCAGACCAAGGGTGGCATTGGGGAACTCCAGTTCGAAACCCGCCCCCGTCGCCACTGCGTCAGGCCGTTGTGTCCTTGGGCAAGACACTTCATAATGTATTATCTCTTCGATTTACACACGGCATCTATTGCACGTCTGTCCGTCCTGGGAGAGGGATCCCTCCTCTGTTGCTCTCCCTGAGGTTTCTCCCATGTTCCCCTTTAAACTGTGGGTTTTCTCTGGAAGTTTTTCCTTGTACGATGTGAGGGTCAAAGGACAGAGGGTCTAAGGACAGAGGGTCTAAGGACAGAAGGTGTCGTTTTTCTCATACTGATATTCTGAACAATCTGTGCTGTTGTATTTGCTGTAAAGTGTCTCTACTGTAGGCTATTTTTATTTTATGTACAGCACTTTGGCTCGACCAAAAATCGTTTATAAATGTGCTATATAAATAAAACTTGATTTGATTTTTCATCAGATCAAGGGGGCGTTGGGGAACACCAGTTCGAAACCCGCCGCTGCGTCTGTAAAGCCGTTGTGTCCTTGGGCAAGACACTTCACCTGAATTTACTCATGTGGGTATTGTCCACAGTACATGTGTGTAATGTGTATTTGTAAAGCGCTTTGAGCATCTGGAAAAGCGCTATAATAAATGCAAGGAATTAACCTAAGCCACTTGTGCTGAACAGATAAATGTCTGTATACTTATATAATAAAAAGGATCATTTTCTCAATAAACTATGATCAAAAAGAGGGAGGACTTCTAAACCGCATGTCACATCACTATCCTCATCCTTTTCGCAAAAAGCTCCCGTTGGTCTGATTTACTTTCATATCAAATACGTTTTATGCACAAGCAATGCAACATACACTAACTGCCTCATAAGAGATACTGGAGGTTGAGTTAAAAGAAAATAAGGAACTACTACACATTGGAGTGAACACATGCTCAATTGGAAATAATACAATAATTATTCGTACTGATTTATGAAAAATATCTTAAATACAATGAAAAAGTTAAGAGTCTTAAAAGAAATGTCAACTCCAAGTCTCAATGTGTTAACGTGCAGGAATCTCCCTTTGCAATTGGTCTATTCCTACATTTTCTAAAAGACAATATTAATTATGGATACAATTGTGCCTTTTTTGGTTGAAAACTGCAATCCTTGTGATAAATGTTTTTTTAAAGAAAAGAGAAAGGGCTGCAAACATGGGAAAGGCAGGATGTGGAGTGTGAGCAGGTGGATGCACAGTGCAGCAGAGAGGCTGGGGAAGCCGCTTGCTTCCATGATGCAATGCTCCTGCTCTGCCACTATGGGTCTCCTCCACCAAGGGGAAGACCAGCAGAGGAACTCCAGAGAAATCCCTGCTCTCCTCTGGTGCCGGAGCTCTGCAGCCTCAGCATGCAAACAGTGCAGTGATTACATGGAATCTCTGAACACAGAAGACGTACATTACATTCAAATGTACTTGACTTTGCAAACAGGGAAGGGCTTCATTACTTATGACATCACTTACGCAAACTTAAACTCTATCACCGGCACAGACTCAAACCTGTCTGACCAGGACATACCTGCCGTCTCCTGTGGTGCAATAACAGCATGTGGATTACTTAATGCACATGCTGACAGGGTGACAGACTCAAACGTGACAAATGTTTCTAGAAAGCATGTCAGTTCATTTCTGCGGCTGAAAGAAATAATGTGATTTCTATGAAATGTGTTGGTTGCTTGGTTAGTCAATATCCTCTTCTTACTTTATGAAAAAGGGCCTTCATTTGAAGTACAGATACAAAGCTAGATGTTATATTATCAGTCAAACTATTACAGTAAGTATTCAAAATGATTCTGTTCAGCTACCAGCTACATGCAGGGGCGGACTGGGACTAAAGATTAGCCCGGGAAACTCGACCGGCCCAACTCGGTACCGCTAGTCAATTGTCAACAGGGGGGGGGGGGGGGGGCTGCTAGAGTGAATTGTCCGACCGGCCCACTTCGGTACCGGAAAACTCCCGGTATTCCCAGAGGCCAGTCCGCCCCTGGCTACAGGTTTACTCTGTCCACCATTCAAGTGCCTTTACACAAGCAAAAGAACCCTTAAAAAGGTTTTGAAATGTCAAGCTGAAAATGTTTAAGAACTTTGAATAAGTCATCATTTACTGTTATGTGTAGAAACAAGAGCTTATGGTATGTGCAAACTCCTAACATTAACTATTATACAACTGCATGACTCTGGAAACAGAGTGGATTCAGAGAAGATGTAAAGGACAAATAGGCAGATTGAAATAAAGTTTCTGTTGCGCAACTTCAACAGTTCTTAACAAATGACACCATTGTTTCTTTCTGGGATTTACAATAAAGAACAATAAAGAGCCTATTCAAGAGTTAGAGGTGGTTTAACTTGTTGCAACAAGTGCATCAGTCTTTGAGTGAAAGGTGGAGACCAGAATCACACCACTTGACGTAAAAGACAAATCACACCCTCCCTGAGCGGGCCTGACCTGCACATCTGGTACAACCAGCTGAAGGAGGGCAGACTCAAACATCTACCCTCCTCTACTGCTCACTTCCTGCCATGACTCCAACCGTTGGCTCGTCAGACAGGTGCCAAGAACTGGTTTCAGGGAGTGGCTTGCAAGTTCAAGTTAAGAAAAGGATAAATTAACATGAAGATTAGTTATACAAGACTCCTTTCCAAGAAACTGTTTTACAGCATGTCCTGCACTCTTGATGCAAACTAAAATATGTTTTACTGCACCAAAAATGAGCTCTTCTGGACTAAAAAGGAACAATTTCTGGTCACTACAAAAATAGATATCACTGACAAGATACGGGGGTGCAATGGAGGAGGGTGGGAGTGATTTCTATATGACCAATGGATGACGAAGCGATGAGCAAGCTCATGACTCATCGGTGTGCACCGGTATTCCTCCGCATTTTTCAGCAGAATCACAAAAGAAATGTACATTAGTCATTCCTAAAGGCACCCTACCTTTGCGCCACGCGTCTCTTCGCATCTTATGGCGCACAGGACATCAATTAAACACTCATTCATAAAAAAAAACAAGGAGTTAAAAAGGCACAGCGAGTCACCGGGAAGATAAAAATCAATGTTTTCATAAAAATTAAGTCAACAAGCATTCAAATCTTCCTGGTAGACTGGTTTAGGGGATTGTCACCCTGTTCCGATGCAAAGAGGAGAGCTCGGCAACAATTGCCCAGCAAGAGGCTCCAGACGCAGCAGTCTTCTCCAAAAAAAGGAGACTGGAGAAGTGGGTCAAGCCATGGCAGGGGCGATTCCTATGAGACTACCAAACCAAAATACACTTAGATTCAACCATTAACTCGCTCCTATGTGAACAAACAGGCGAACAAGTAAATTAAAAGGCTTAAATCCAATTAAAAGCCGGTGTAATGTAACCAAACATGTAGGGCAAATTGGATAAGGTAATCTGACAAGGAAAGAAAGCGACGCCACAAGCATGACCAAACACCGCCTGCATATAAATCAGAAAGTCAGGTAAAGGTGATTAAAACTAAAAAATGTTGGACCAACTGCCCCAATGAGACACATTTCCAGGAGTCAGAAGCTAATGTGGGATGTAGGTAACGTTTTAAAGTGGGCATAAGGGTTTGTCTTACATCATGCAGATGGGCTAATGTGGTTCAGTAGTGCGCCGGCTGAGAGCTCACCCACATAACAGCTCTGAAAAAGTGCGTATAGCCTGCGCAATTTGGCTCCTGGCTCACCAATGTGGGGCATCCCCATCCCGCAAAAAATGTGTGTGAAAACGCTGACTGGAGCCCCTGGCAGCTGGGTTTGGCGTGACAGAGAGAAAAAAAGCAAATTGAGCTAATAAGGACCATTATGCTGCCAGTCAATCAGCTGCTTACCTGCGCTTGTTACGCAACACCAACCTCCCACTTGAATTAAGCCACAAAAACGAACCAGAATGCAGCTTTTTTTCTTCGTGCCAAGTGAAGTTTGAGCTCAATAACCTCATTCTGATGTTTGCACGTCGAGTCTATACTGCCCTCTTCGTGACCGTGGTGTGAAAATTGATGTGACCGAACTCACCAGCCCATTTGCCCAGATTTGGATAGATCAGCATCCCGTTCCCCAAGACCCAGATCCTGAAGCCTGAGAGCAGCTTGTAGAGGACCCACAGCACCAGGGAGGCCACGGTGAACGCGCCGACCCAGAAGAGCAGCTTCTCCTCCACGTTCATCGAGTTCATGGCAGCGGCGTGTGTGTGTGTGTGTGTATGTGTGGAGACCTCAATTTTAGGCAATGTGCTCTAATTTCCAAGACACAACGTGAGAGAGAGTCCCTTTATAAGGAGGTTGTAGCATCACACACACTCCCCCAACACTTGTCTAGCCTGATTTAAAACGCACCGCCCACCTGGTGCTTTAGCCCCGCCCCTTTTATGCTCTCACTCGCTGCAGCAGCTGTCTGTCGGATGATTCAGCCTCTGGATTGGTGCGTTTGCGTGTCAATCCTCTCCACAGCGCTCCCCATTCATTAGGTTTTCTGTATGAAGCTGGGTGGGTCAAAGGGCGACCGGGATGAGGAGCGATTGGGCAAACATTACTTCAGATCCCATCCGGAGGCTGCCATTGGCTCTCAGCGGAGCAGGTTTGTCGGTTTCAGTCATGATTATGAAACCCTCCAAACCCACGCTTTCGGAAAAAAACTGCCTGCACCACTTTATGAATGAAACAATGCCCTCATTGGTGAGAAATGCGCACCTGATCCCGCCCCTGGGAGACAGTTTATTGGCTAAAGTGATGCCAGTCTGTGAAGTCAGCATGCTCCCACCTAGACATGAGTCACTCGTCTATTTTAGGTATTCCGCCTGCATCATACTGCTGATACCGACTGAAATGTGCTGCAGTGAGACATGTTAGCGCACATTTGTCACCTGTATTGCGGCAGATAACTCGTCCAAAGGTGCCTCTGTCTGCTGTAACATATCGAATACAGGTTCCCCAAACAGGAAAAACTACAATTCGCTTTAGACTCTCGCGAGAGTACGCACATAAAGTAAATTCCCAATTTCTTACATTTAGGAGGGGGAGATGAGATGTGATGTGTGTGTTACATAAACATTGGGAAAGACACGTGCATTTCCATCGCTTTATTTGACACTTTAACATATTCACATGAATAAGCCTTGTTTGGATGTTGCAGCAAAATCACATTTTTCTCCTACAAGCTCGTTTGGACTATCTTTTACCCACTTCGACCCAAAAAGGCATTCTGCAACAGCACTGCCGCCATGTCTCCTTCTCTCTCTCTCTCACACACACGCACGCACGCACGCACACACACACACACACACACACACACACACACACACACACACACACACACACACACACACACACACACGCACACACACACACACACACACACACACACACACTCCAAAACTAAACATGTAATTCTGACACACCGATGCTCCATGGCACAAATCAAAACATGTTGTGTACTCAGCAGAGGGACAAGAGTATAAAACAGTGTGAACATGCTGACAGGCTTCGTGCAGCTGCTCGCATTCTTTGACACAAGTGGAGGCATCGAAGTCAACGTGACACCGAGAGGAAGCAAGTTGTGTAACAAGCTCAAACATGGGGGGAATTAAATGCATTTCTCAACAGCTGTATCTCAGTCTTAGATATTACTATGTGCAATAAAAACATATTTGCAAAATGTCATCTGTCACAATATATTTTAGATAAAAAAGCCGCGATTTTATACTTCGGCATCATTGCAAAATCAATATTATTTCACATTTATTAATGTCGTTTTTGCATATTTTCACAATTTTCACATTAAAACAGCACATACACAGCATGTAAGTCTAGTGTAACACAGTCATTAAATAACATTTGATTTGTAAGAGAGTAGCCTCAAATCGTGCTTAAATGAATAACATAAAATACAATCAAGTTTCACACATTGCACACATACACGCACACACTGCTGTCTGACGTTTTGAAAGAGTGCAGCTTCACGTCTCGGTCGTGTCCTCGCAGCCAAACAGCTGAAAACAAGAGAGAAAATGTGGATTTAGTTTTGCACATTTTCCTGTGAAAATCTCTACATGTGTGTGAAATCTGCAACACACTTAACATGCAAAGCAGTCAGAAAAAATACATTATCAACGTGTCCTCCGCACCTTAAACTCACATAGGCCTACTGTTGTATTTTTCGAGGGGATCTATTAGGATGAACTACGCAGTACGCACAATAAACTACAAAAAACAGGTTTTACCACTTTGTGCAATAACGATACCACAAACTACATTTTCAACTAATCTCAACTATTCAGGTTTTTTTGTTTTGTTTTCACGAACAGTATTTACCCCTCCTGGTACACACACACACACACGCACGCACGCACACACACACACGCACGCACACACACAAAAAGATCATGGCAGTAATTCGGACTAATGTTTCCTCGGAGCTGATCGCTACTCAAACTGATAAAACAATAAAAAAAACATCTTGACTATTATCACTTATTTTATCCACTCTTTTTATTATTATTATTTACCTTAATACACTGGATTTTCCCCCAGGAATGTTGTATTTTATACACACACTTTACCAGAGTTTACAGCCAGTTAACACGTTTTAATTGTCTGCATATTTACGTGTCGCTGTCCACCTCTGTGGTGCTGAACATCGACACACACTCACTTTAACATCCTTACATATGTATATATGTATACATGCAAATGATTGACTCCTGGTCTACACAGGGCTTCTCTACATCTGCAGAAGCATCTAACACACACCTTCCAGACACAAGCAGAACACACACTCCTGTCCTCCACACACACCTTCAGTAAATACTCCTGGCCATTTTTGGCTAATTCTATTCACCGATAACATATCTGACACGGTGCTTCTTTAAGCTTTAACAATATGTGTTCTGTTGAAGCAACACCAGTGCAACACACACATCCAAATCCCTCCATTACATTTCCTTAATCTGTGATAGCCATTACATGACCAGGAAAATGACACTGCTTCATCTGAGTCACATATTCACAGTGAGTCATGTTGAAAGCCTTTAAAGGTATTTACAAGCAACACAGCTTTAGTGCATCCTCCGAGCAATACTACAGATAATTACAAGCATCATTTGTATTTGTATTTGATGTTATACATACCTATGGTCTGGTTTTAACTGAAGAGACCAGAGCAACGTGCAGCAGCCGCACCTGAGGACACACAGAACAGAAATGAGATCCATTTGAGTTTCAGCAGAAAGACAGAGCAGTGGGTATAACAGAAGGAAAGCTCCGACACATACAGCTTTTATTTTATATATTCAAGTGTGTAACCATGATCAACAAAAAGGACTAAGGCATTATAGCAATTGTGTAGTTATCTCTGCTGATATTAGGAGCCACAATTCCAGATAAATATAATATATATATTTAAAATGTATACAATGTCAGACATTTACATTTAAAACCCCATCATCTTTCCCTCTATTGCAACTTTGAAAATACATTTCTAATAACCAGGGTCTGAGAAATGACCTAGTTTGGAATCGAACACGTCTCAGTAAATAATCAGCTTTTGTTACTGATCAAATTATATTTTCAGTAATAACGTGTCAAAAAACAGGACTACAAGTAAAATGTGTGTGTGTACTTTGAGACATTATAATCAGATTGCTGTGATTAGTTTGTGTGTAACACATACATGTCACATACCAGTGTGTGTGTGTGTGTGTGACTTCTGTCCATTTATACAGTTGCATTACATCGTCTGTTACGTGGTCCTTTTTATCTGTGTGTCCTGCAAAAACAAGACATCACAAATCTTTTGAATTCATTGTGCCACTATATAGTGGACTGCTTATAACACACACGCTCACACACAGACACACACACACACGCTCACACACACACGTATACTCGCTCTCTCACACATGTGAAATAAAGAAGAAAACACAACTATATTTCCACATTTACATTTCTTTGTGTCTGTACGTCTTGACTTCATATTTAAAAAGAAAACGAAAGGAATCAAGATGTCTAATTTCAACACACACACATACATACAGACATACAACCATACACACACACAGAAAGACACACACACACACACCACACACACACACACACCACACACACACACACACACACACACACACACACCACACACACACACACACACACACACACACACACCCTCTGCACCCCACGTATCATTGAATACTCTCTCTACTCTCTGCAATATATCTTCATCTAAACAGCTGATGGATTTACAGGTTGATGCTACCGGCCTCAGGAAGCATCACTGAACATATAAACCGTACATGAATCAAAAAACATCTGCTTTTCTTGATCCACATCGAAAAGAACACATTTCTCCTCCATAACAAATGGGGTGTCATTCTGCCTAAATAATCATATATGTCAAATCATCCCATCATAACTTATTTATTTTTAGATTTTAAATTAGATAAGAGAAAAGGACATCATTTAGACGTCACTATTGTCTCCGTTTTTATGTTTGAATCAACACTGTACATTAACACATATTACAAAACAAATATAATATTAAAATAGATTCAAATATTGAACATAACATATTAAAATATACAGTAAATGTCAGCTTATGTTTTAATATATAGTCGTTGTATTTAAATAATCGTCTCTCTCTGAATTTCATCTATAGGATGAAACACGGACACACACACACACACACACACACACACACAGATTTCCTGTGTGTGACTTCCCACAGCCTAGTGTGTGTCATTTCAGATCATTTTCTGTACTTTACAAAACATTTTATACCAATGTATCTTCTGCTTGTTTAACTTACTCATCCTACCAAATGCACCTCACAGCGAGGAGTGTGTGAACTAAAATTACAAACCTCTTATTGCAGGTCTGTTATATTCGGCTTCCCGAACCTAAGCAATCAGAAGATTTGATCTAGAAACACCAGCCTTGGGATTGTTAAAAAATCCCATCAGACAAACTCTTGTTAAGACACAAGTACACACATTTAGGGGGAGATAATGAACACTCTGGGGTGAGGGTTCACGCAGCAGATGTTACATTGTGAGGAAGGGTTTAGACTGTTTTATCCTTAAGTACAGGTTTGTTTTGTTCGTTTGTATTTCCTAACCCCTTAACAGAGATGCAGGAACCACACGAGGCTAAAGCTGTTCAGAAAAACAGACCTCCAATTTTATATTTAGGTCAATAAAACTCTTCCATCAGATATCAAATAAGACAAGAAAAGAGGAAAATCAATAAGCTTTGGATCCAATCGTTTTTTTAGTTTGAGTTTTGTATGTTAGAATTAGGACCAGAAAAACATTAAAATATATTACAACACAACATATATAGTTACTGCTGGATTCAATAATTACATATTTATGTTTCAATGTATGGTCGAACGTTTAAATAATTGACTCTCACTTTCATCTATTCGATGGTACATGAACACACACACACACATTTCCAGCCGTTACGAGTGTGTGTGACTTTTGCCAGACCGCTGTGACAATCTTTTGTAATTTACAAAACATTTGATACAATTAAACTTCTACTTATTAAACGGACTTACGAAGGAAACAGCCCTCAGACCTTAGGAGAGAAATCTCTTCCTCATCTCAGGAGGAATCCCCTGAAGCTGATGATGATCCCACTTTCTGCTCATCTATATTATATATATCTTTTTTAATGATCTGACAAAACCTCCAGATCCTGCAAAGCATCTTTGACTCAAATAAGACAAAACACTTTTCAAGGATCTGTCCTAAATGTCACGTCATCGGGTGTTACATCGGCTGTGCTGTTTTCACCTTTTGCTTTTATTCCAAAACACTCCACAACTGAAATGGGAATGAAATCAACTTCTTTCATTCCTGAACAATTTGTGATTGATTTGATTAATACAATCCTCTCAAGTTCAAGCTAAATGGTCAAAAAGTCAAATATCTTGATGAGGTCTGATAAGTCCAAGGTACAAGAATGACCAGCTCGTGTCTCTGAATGCAGAAACATTTTTGCTCCAGCTGAGCTTAAACGTTTCTATATTCAGCTGCTTGATCTGGTCAAATGTTTATAAACTGAAATGATTCATTTGCCATTTTCCTGTAATTGTGAGAGCTTTAGAGCCACCCTTCGATGCACAAGTGGGTCTTTTTGGACCCGGTGAGGTGGTTTTCTTGAAGTATCTTTGTAATTACATTTTTTTGTATTATTCAATATTCCAGCTATTCCTCAAAAAACATGTTTTGGATATCGTGCCATTCACATTTTAAATTTACATTTGATACATTTTAAGAAATTGTAGTTTTTGTATTACTACCCCAAGCTTCCATAAGTGGGTCTTTTTGGACCCGGTGAGGTGGTTTTCTCAGAGTATCTTTGTAATTACATTTTTTTGTATTAATTCCTCAAAAAACATGTTTTGGATATCGTGCCATTCACATTTCTAATTTACTTAAGAGATTGTAGTTTTTGTATTACTACCCCAAGCTTCCATAAGTGGGTCAAAAATGACCCACATGCATTTTCTATGGACTCCTATGGGAAAACGTTTTTTTCAAAATGTAAAAGAAATGTCTAAAACTGTAAATAGTGAAAAATTAAATATAAAATATTTCTAGTGTGAACCAAAATATAATACTAAATATTATACAAGTGATTTTTTTCTTAACCAAAATGACATAAAAACACATATTATTCTAATACGGGTCCTTTTTGAGCCACTTATGGAAGAGTGTAGGGTCCAGTCACTCGGGCATCGAAGGGCCAACTCAGTGGACATTTTGAAACAACTGCTAAAGACACACCTTTTTAGATTAGCTTTTTATTAGCAACCCCCCACTTTAAATGTTCTTTTAGTCTCTATTATTTACCTACCTTTATATTGTTTTATTTATTTTATAGGTCTTAATCTTGTTATTTGTATTTCTGTTGAACCTATATGTTCACTTAGTTTTATGGGGTTTGGTATTGTTGCATCGACTCAGTTTTCTTGTGTCTTATCGGTCGGAGAGAAACCTTTCTTTATTTTATTTGTATCATCTTTGACCTCCTTGTGTCTGTTAACCTGATCAAATGTTAGATTTTGCTGCATGAACCTTTTAAGGTTCTTGTTGTTTGTTTTTAACTTGAGATTAGTCATTTTGTAAAGCACTTTACAGCTGCATGTGATGTATGAAAAGTGCTGTATAAATAAAGCTTTATTATTATTATACTTCAACTTCCTGCTTGTCTTACCATCTAATTTTCTTACTTTTTCCACCTGCAGCTACACAGAACTTATATAGACAAACTAAAGACTAATGTAATATAGCAATCACACCATAAATAAAACATTTTGTACAAATAAAGTAAGTTAAACCCTAGAATTGGACATTTTTAACTTGAGTTTTTCCCTCTGCTAACATACAGTAAGTTCCTGAATTAACACTTTGCCATGTTTCGAATTGTACTTTTCATCTGCAATTCTAAAGTCTATTTTCAATCGGAATAGGACCCATTCAAACTTCAAAGTGACTCCCGTTTACCTACCTACAGAGGATTCGGGTGGTGTTTCTGGGAATAAAGGTGTCGGTTTATCCAAGCTTTCCCTCTCCGTCCACTTAGATATCCTTTTCTGCTTCTACTGCTGTGTTAGTTTCCCTTTTCTCCATCATCTGAGTCCTGAGTCCTGAGGACACATACAGATGACAGATTAAGTAAAAAAACATGAACACTTTCAATCAAATTCTTCACAAACAGTTAAAATGACAGGTCAAATCATAAGACCTAATGCAGACTTGTGAAATTAGGTATTTACAATATATTACACACAAGTAGAATAAGAGAGAGTTCTTGTATTATACAGAGCTGTAAACAAAGCACTGTTTCATTAGTGGCATGCATGCACACGTGCACACATCTGGGTGCAACGAATGACTGAATCATCACCAAGATGTCATGGAAACACACATGAAAGGTCACTGTATGTAGTCAAACAGTGAGACATTCGGTTTGTTAAATATCCTGAAGCAAACGTTTAACACATGCATGGAGTTGGGACTGTAATTAAACTAGAAACAGTGTGTGTGTGTGTGTGTGTGTGTGTGTGTGTGTGTGTGTGTGTGTGTGTCTGTGTGTGTGTCTGTGTGTGTGTGTGTGTGTGTGTGCAGGTGACAGGGGTGAGACTCCTGTTGTTGGGCGGTACACACACCACATGATGTCCTGCTTCTATCCACCCTCCGGCCCTCGACACAGACTGCTCTCAGTTTCTCTTTTACTCAAGAATGATTCTGCATCTGCTGTCATGTTACGGTGACACACACACACACACACACACACACACACACACACACACACACACACACACACACACACACACACACACACACACACACACACACACAACACACACACACACACACACACACACACACACACACACACACACACACACACACACACACACACACACACACACACACAACACACACACACACACACACACACACACTCTCACATGGAAATACATGGAGACTATGTCAGAAACACACACAGCAAATTATTTGGTACCTTATTTATTTGTAAACATCTGTGAAAACTAATATAAACGTGTTTTTTTACACTTCATATTTATACTGTAATATCATTTGTACACACAGTACGGACCCATCACCCTGCTAAAGACACATCTTTTTAGATTAGCTTTTTATTAGCAACCCCCCACTTTAAATGTTCTTTATTATTAACCTACCTTTATATTGTTTTATTTATTTAACAAGTCTTAATCTTTCTATTTGTATTTCTGTTGTACCTATGTTCACTTAGTTTTATGGGGTTTCATATTTGATATTGTTGCATCGACTCAGTTTCTTGTGTCTTATCTGTCGGAGAGAAACCATTAATTATTATATTTGTATCATCACACATTTGACCTCCTTGTGTCTGTTAACCTGATCAAATGTTAGATTTTGCTGCATGAACCTTTTAAAGTTCTTAACAAATAATCTGAGGGGAATTTCTTGTGATGTGTCATTTTGTAACAGAGCCAGACATAATCTACTTCCTAGGAGATTAAAAACACTGTTCATAGACAGAGAGGGTGGGTATACTTTGAGAGGAAATCTACATTTGAAACAACTCAAGATCAGAACAACTCTGAGAAGTATGAGTATAACAATCTGTGGGGTGATTTTATGGAATGGTTTGGAGCATAATTCAGTTTAACAGGATGTACAGAAACACTTTTGGGAAAACTATGAGAATGAAGAAAGGTTATTGAAAATCACATGTATACAATTTGTAAGTGTAAGTAGGAATAACTTGCATAATGATTTAAAGGACAATCATTGATCAATTAAGGGGTGGGAATTAATAAGCATTTGCTTCCTCCTGCTCCCTTTCGGACACACATGATTTTTTATTATTATTAATATGAAGACTTTTTTTGTTGAATATATAAATATTATCATGAATGTGGATAAATACTGTATTTTAACAATACAGTATTCTGTTTTTCACATTTGTTATTTTGTATTTGTTATTTTTTTAATCTGTTCGAAATAAAGATTGAAATGAAATGACTTTGAGCTGCATGTGTTGTGTGAAAAGTGCTATATAAATAAAGCTTTATTATATTATTATTATTTCTATCACACAAACGAGTATTACTGCCCAGTAAACGTATTTGTATGTATTGTTTTTGTTTAATCTTTAAAACTGGTATTTTGGCGTCTTATTTTGAATCCGTGTATCTACCGTCCAATTGTTTTTCTTTATTAAACAAGTAAACGGAAGAGCGTCTGAGAGGCGTTTTTGCTTTTTGCTTTTTACCTTACTAAATGGTCTAATGGTCCTTGGAGCGAGGGGCGGGGCGAAACTCACGGAAGTGATTTCAAAACAAAAGCACTCGTGTGCTTGGAACGGTGATAATATTATAAACAAGGTGAAAACGGCCAAGACACATATTGAGCCCAGAAAATGAATGATATTAAGGGCTGTATTTATAATAGGCCTATGTCTAAAATGGACAACATTGTTAGGAGATTTAAACTACAGCGATTCTGCACTGCGGTCACCTCAGCCGTCTCTCGAGTTTGTTTTTTCAATTCAGATGCTCTTCATTTTTTGTCCTGCTATATTTGATGATCGATAGCGATACAAGCAGTGGCGGTTCTAGACCAATTTGACTGGGGGGGCCACTGGGGGGCCAGTTATTTTCTGAGGGGGGCACAATAAATGCAGGACGAAAAAGATAACTAGACAGTATGAAGTAATTGCGCATAAGAAAACAATGCAATACAGTTATTGGTATTTGTTTCAGTACACTTATTTATTTCAGATAGATCTTATAGTTATTACTGTTAGCTTCAGCTTAAGTTATAGTGCAATGTTTGCACTAAACACCATATTTATATAAAAATAAAGGCAATGAACAGTTACATCTCTACTTTACATAAGGGTGTCTGCACAATCTCACATTACAGCAACAAAATCCTGCAGTCTTTGGAAAACCGAGTACCAGAAAATATACATTTAAAAAAATAAAAAAAACCTTTTCATTGTTAGGGGGGCCACAGGGGGGTCAGAGGTCAGTGTTAGGGGGGCACTGGCCCCCCCTGGCCCCCTAGAACCGCCCATGGATACAAGTATTTGTTATCATAAGTTCTTAATAAAACTGACACTGTTGGACTCGGTACTAGTTTGACTGCTACCAGAAATAAAATGAAGTACTATTACGGTGTGCTTAGTGAATAATCCTCTGCCAGAGTCCCCTCCATAGTACATAATCATAGTACATAATGCATGTTTTCTGCTATCTTTGATGAATGATAAAAAGACAATTTTACCATTAGTTCTTAATGATATTGATACTGCTTGACTCAGTAGTCTTACACCTACTACCACAATACAATGAAGTACTTCTAGTGTGTTGTTTAAAAAAATCCTCTGTCAATGTCCCCTCCTGAGAACAAAATCAAGCCACTTCTGTTAAGTTTGATGAGGGAAAAAAAGATTTTTGTTTCCATTAGTTCTTTGTGAGTTTGACACTGTTGGACTCAGTACTAGTGAAATTACTCCCACAAGTACTATGAAGTACTTTTACTGTGTACTTTTCATGTAATCCTCTGTCAATGTCCCATCCTGAGTACAAGAATGCATGTTTTTCTGCTATTTTTAATAAGCATTAAAAAGCCTTTCTTCCTGAGACTGACAGTATTGGACACTCCACCATGTCAATACATTTCTCTTTTTGTAGTGTATTGGTCTTTTGTAGAGGTTTTTCATTGCCAGCTAAAATATTGCCTATGGGGCAGCAAATTGGTCAGAACCAGCCCTGGTGTCATCCCCACAGCACCCCCCATTTGAAACATGTTCCCACGGCTATGGATGCCTAAGTCCATGAGTGGGAAATATAATCTATGTATTCGTCCAGTATTGGATCTTCTAAAGTTTCGCCATCCCGGAATAAAACAATAATTCTATGTAGGTTATTGGGTTATTTTTCAATATTTGGCAGATGGGACAAAAAAGGGAGGTGTAGCTCAACAGGAACCTTTGATCTTGTGTTGGGTAACATTGACTCTGTAAACACGACTCTTAAAGTATGTGGGTCACACTGCAGCTTTTCTAAGTAAAATACTTTGATAAATGGTAGTTTTAAACACTTTTGCCTTTTTACTTCTGATGCTAACTGATGTGATTCCCATGGTCCCCTGAAGTGGCTGAATTACTTTAAATATAGTGTATAAATTCAGGTTTACAATACACGTACTATTCGTCATAAAGCAGGAGGCTAGGACACCCACAGCCAATTACTAAGAACATCTATGTTAGGAGGTCTTTTTAGGTTTTAAACAATAATATGATATATGAGGATTTGACTTCTAATGGATTATTTTTACTTTACTTCATGCACTGGTTAATACTGCTTGTTTTTAGCTTCGGTTGTGCTAACGGATAAAAAAAGCTGTTTCTACAATGATGTGGAGGGAGAGTCCTCTCCAGTCAGACTGAGAGGCTGATAACTACAGCTCAGTGAGGTAAAGGACTCTGAGTGTTTATATAGTTCACTTTAGTCTAAGTTATCTCAGTGGGTCTCAAACGGTTTGATCACAATTTATGTAAACACATATTTCCAAGACACTCCTTTATAATTATTGGGATAAAACAGGTTTTAAATCATTTCAATGTATACTATAGGACAGTAAACCAGACATATCGTTTTAAACTTTTCTCTGTTTGTAGTTTATTGGTCTTTTGTAGAGGTTTTTCATTGCCTGCTAAAATGTTGCCTATGGCAGCAAATTGGTCAAATCCAGCCCTGGTGTCATCCCCACAGCACCCCCCATTTGAAACATGTTCCCACGGCTATGTTGGACAGAGTATTTTAAAAGGATATGGTGGACATATTATCAGCAATACTTTCAGTCAATACTCCAACAGCAGCATTTGTACACCTTGGAAAGTCTTTAGAGTCTGGCCTGGATAGCTGGTCACAAATATCCTTCAGCACACTGACACACTCTGTCACTCTTGTTGGCCTCTTATGATGTTGCTGTCTTTTAATATATAATTATTTCTCTGCCGCTAGTTTGTTCCTCGCAGATTCTTCATTCTCATCAGCCTCATCCTTCCATCAGTCCCAATCAACGCATCAGCCTCCAGCACACTTCCAGTGTCTGACTCCAT